TAAGTTTTTGCCTGATCAAACTATTTTTAAAAATCATAAAATATAAGGTCCCTGTTTAGGATTTGATCAAGAATCATTTTTAAAAAGTCAGAAGAAATCTCACTACTGTTTTGTCTACTACAGATGCAATTAACTAAGCTTCTAGAATCTAAAGATAATTATTCGTCTGAATTCATGATGCTTTCATCAGCTCACCAACTATTTACTTTAGAGCAATGAATTCCAGTCTTGGTATTTCTACTGTTTAAACAGGTCTCCTAGACTCTGTGGGCCTCAAATTCTCATCTGTAAAATTGAGTCTAAAAATCCCTATTCAGGAATATTGTGAAGGTAAATCACATACCGGTGAAAGCATTGGAAAGTGAAACATGAGGGAGAATATACAGGTTGAGTATTCCTTATTTGAAATGTTTAGGATCAGAAGTGTTTCAGATTTCGGGTTTTTTCAGATCTTGGAATATCTGCATTACACTTACTGGTTGAGCATTCTAAATCCAAATGAAAATACAAACTGCTGCAATGCACATTTCCTTTGAGCATCATACTGGTACTTATGAAGTTTTAAATTTTGAAGAATTCAGATTCGGGATATTCAACCTGTTTAGGTTGTAGGCATGAATTTTATGTCTACCTTTTCATTCTTTTATTTATTTTTCTTAGAGACAGGATCTTGCTCTGTCACCCAGACTGGAGTACAGTGGTATGATCATGGCTCACTGTAGCCTCAAACTCCTGGGCTCAGGCAGTCCTCCCACCTCAGCTTCCTGAGTAGTTGGGGTTATAGGCACATGCCCAGCTGTTTTGTTTTGTTTTGTAGATACAGAGACTATGTTAACTAGGCTGGTCTCAAACTCCTAGCCTCAAGTGACCCTCCCACCTCATCCTCCCAAAGCATCAGGATTACAGGAATTAGCCACTGTGCCTGGTCCCTTTTCATTCTTCTACTAGCATCATTTTACTAAACAAATACTTCCTGATTAAAGATTTCTTTTCCTAAATTTTGTGTTCATTCTGTTTAGATTTTATTGTCTCCTGATACCAGAGTATAATATTGTTTAGTGTTTGCATAATATTTCCACAATAATAATTTCCTTTCAGGCAAGATCGAGAGTACGTTCAGGGTTGTATGGCCACAGACAATAATCTCTCTTGAAGTTCTTTTTAGGAGTCGTATTGCATAATACAATGTGTCAATAAACAGTCAAGCTGATTTAGTCATGGGGTTGACCCAAAACCATCAGACTGTCTTGGTACGAATCCAATTTTTCAAACCCTGAACAACGAGTGGTGATTATGGCTAAAAAATATTCCAATTTAGTGCTTATTTAAAGGCAAACCAAGTAGCTCATAGAATGTGCACTTTGGAGAGAAGCCTAGATAAGCAATGTCATCCTAATACTACAAGCAAAATGGACCTGGGCAAGATACTCAACTTCTCTCAATACATGGTAGCTGCCATAGGCCTATATCCTAAATCTCCATTGGCAACACTGACAGTTGATGTATCTGAAATTTGAAGTTCTATTCATTCCACATTCATGTACAGAATTTGCTTCAAATACCTTTGGTAAGTGACAAGGAAGAAAAAGAGAACCCCCATGGTTACTGCCATAACAAGGTGGTATGTGTTCAAATCCCTCTGAGGGACTGCTTTAACACTGACTGTTTAGTGCTAAAATGATATGTCAACTTCCAAAACAAATTGAAGGCAACTGACCAACTTTTCTACTAGAGGTAATTTCTGACTGCAGAGATTAATACACATTTGAGCTTTTACTTTAAATGGATAATTACTTTAATTAAATGGATAATGGTTGCAGTAAGTTAACAGAAAAACTGGGCTAACAAGCTCACATGCAAATCATCATGCCTCCAGCATATCCATCCTTGTAAAGAAAACACATGCTTTCATAATCTGCTAAGAAAGTAAAAAAAGACCTATGGCTTCCTTACACATTTTTCTTCAAAAAAATATTTTCAGTTTCAGGTGCGAGGGAGGCAAAAAGCCCAAATACCCGGGGTTGAGTTTTGAAACTTTGCAATTACATTCCACTGAAATAAATTTTAACCGTGTGACTGGGTAAACACTTTGGTTTTATCCGGCACTTAAAGGCACAAAGTAGACTATTTTTCTTGTTTTTGCCTTAATTCTCATTGTCTAATTACCAGTCATTTTTAGTGCAATGTCCAAATCCAATGAGATCCCGTTCTGGGGTTACAAATTTTCATTGCTCCCCGCTTACTGACCTGGCGATCATAATTGATTTGAGTTTCTTGCTCAATATCAGAGTCCAATTCGGGCACATCAGATAAATCTGAATCAGATTCTTCACTATAAGAATCAGCTCCACCTTCTGCAGAGAAACAACCCATTAGAAACAAAAGCAAAAATTCTGAGACTCTGAGCAGCTGAAATTATCTAAAATATTTTTCCTTTTATGCCAGCAAAGTAAATAAAAACTATACCATAGTTTTCATTTAATATATATTGTGAAAACATCTTTCTTTCATCTTTGGGTTTAGTTCAGCCCACCCTTCACTCCTTTCAGAAACATTAACAGACTAGGGAAACTTCCTTTTCCACACCACTCACCAGGCAGACGAAACCCATTTATACTTTTTTTGAGACAGTGTCTGTCTCCCAGGCTGGAGTGCAGTGGCACAATCTCAGCTCACTATAACCTCTGCCCCCGGGGCTCAAGCAATCCTCCCACCTCAGCCTCCTGGCAGCTGGGACTACAGGTACATACCACTATGCCCAGCTATTTTTAAAAATTTTATTTGTAGGGACAGGGTTTTGCCATGCTGCCCAGGTCGGTCATTTATACATTTCTATTAGATAGTAGAAACCTGGGTTTTCAGCTTTGCTTTGTAAAATGGCAGGTTTTATAAATGGAAAGGCTGGGGTAAAAATAAATGCAACCATTTACTTCAATACAGATCCTCTTTAGCCTTTTAACATGCCCACTGAGTGTTGCTAATTGTCACGGCCCAAACCACTGCAGAACTCTTCCCAACAGTTATTCATATAATCTTTCATTTTATCACCTGCTCATCCCTGCTGACATCAGACTGGATATAAATGAAAAGACTACATATATGACCATTGAATGGGAACACATAGGCCGCGGCCATGAACCATTCCTTGAGCCCCATTCTGAAGGCCACTTCCATTTCAAAGGTTACCCTGTCCCCCTGCAGCCTGACTGAGCAGACCCTCTGCCTGTTACAACTGTCCTAAGGAAGCTGAAATGTATTCTCTCTTGTTATCCCCCAAAGGTTAATTCTTCACATAAACCTTAGGCCTTCAACATGCACTTGGGAAATCTGCTGATGGTTTTATAGAGGTTTCCTTGAACCTCTATAGAGTTTAAGGTGTGATGATTCTCCTTCCACTTACTACTTTCAATACTCTGCCTTTAACTTTAGCTAATTTGATGAAGATGTTTCTTGGGGTGCATCTTTTTGGATTCACCTTATCTGGTGTCCTTTGCGCTTCCTAGATTTGGCTTATTTTTTTTCCTAGGCATGGGAATTTTTCTGCCGTTATTTCTTTGAACAGATTTTCTGCCCACTTCTCTCTCTTCTCTTTTTGGCATGTTGGTAACACGTAACTTGCTGGACCACCATAAGTCTCTAAACTATCTTTGTTCTTTTTCGTTTCTCAGATTGGATGATTTTCAGTAATCTGTCTTTAAGCTCACTGTTCCTTTCTTCTGCCTAATCTAGTCTGCTGTTGAACCTCTCTACTGAATTTTGCAGTTCAGTTACAGTACTCTTCAGAGAAAGTTTTTTGTTGTTGTTTTTGGTTTTTTGAGATGGAGTCATGTTCTATCACCCAGGCTGGAGAGCGGTGGCACAGTCTTGGCTCACTACAAACTCTGCCTCCTGGGTTCAAACAATTCTCCTGCCTCAGCCTTCTTTGTAGTTGGGATTACAGATGTGCGCCACCACACTTGCTGATGTTTGTATTTAGTAGAGACTGGGTTTCACCATGTTGGCCAGGCTGGTGTTCAAACTCCTGACCTCAAGTAATCCACCTGCCTGGGCCTCCCAGAGTGCTGAGATTACAGTCATGAGCCATTGCACCCAGCCCATCTTCAGCAAAAATATTTTGGGTGCTTTTTAAAAACACTATCTCTGAATTTCTCAATTTGTTCTAGTATTGCTCTCTTGACCTCATTGAGGGTTTTTATGACTATTATTTGGAATTCCCTGTTGGGTAAATCACATCTCTCCACTTAACTGGGGTTGCTTTCTGAGAGATCTTGTTCTTTTATTGGGAATTTCATTTCTTCATTGTTGTTGACACTCTATGTTGGTTTCTGTGCATTAGATTTAAAAAAAAAAAAAAAAAAAAAAGAAGAAGCTCCTTCTCCTTATCTTGTCAGACTGGCCTTGTACAGAAGAAGGATCTCACCAATCTGACTGGCCAGTGGTTTTGAGGTGCCTCTCAAATCTGTGTGTTTGCCCAGACTACTGTTTTGGTGGCCCTAGAACTTAAAATGTGCCATGTCCTGTTGGTACCACAAGACTGTAAAGGTAGAAGACATTAGACTCCCTTGATGTAGCTGGAAGGGTTGGGGTATGGGCTCTGTGTTTCAATTCCTTCTGTCCTCACAGTGAAGCTGAGCACAGCCATTTACTGCTTACTTTTTCTGCGCTAAGCCAAGTAGGCAATCTGTGGCAACTGCCTGTACTCACATTTAGGCTGTACCCTCTGATCCTGGGGAGTCAGCTCATGAAGTGGCCCACTGTACCTCTGCTTCTTCAATTTCTGTGGTCTAAGTCCACTCAGGAATGCAAAGCCCCATCAATTTCCAGAGCTAGGTAATTGAGGAGACAGTCTCGTGGGTAGGAGCTATAGAAGGTGTGGCACTTGATATATGGCTAAACTTTTTCCAGGGAGTGCAGGTAGGCTCAGATTTATCACTGGAGTGAGCCAGAGCAAAGGCTCATGAAGTGCTGAGCTCCGGCTGCTGGAGGGCTATTGTATGTTCGCCCTGTTAGCTCCTTGATGCAAGTCATTAGATGGCAGGTCATCAAAACGCCATTGGAAGTGTATGCTATAAAAATGGGAGTTGCACATTCCTAACTTTTTTCTGCACTGCTCAAAGGGGATGTAGCTCCTGAAGTATTTGTAAACCCATTTAAGACCACCTCTTTGTTCTGTGATATAGGAAGACAAGAATACTCCTAGTCTCTTCTGTTCCCAGAGCAAAAAAGCTTTAGGATGGAGCCCTCTGGGAGGTAACTGTAAAAGCTGGGCATTCAACACGTGGCATAAACCCTGCCTGGGAAGAAATGAGGAGGTACATTCTTAGAGTCCTTCTCATCACTGCTTCTAAGGGAAGAAGCTCCTGGAAGTGCCTACAGGTCCATATAAAACTTCTACTTTTCTCTATGAACTAGACAGACACTCATATACTTTGTCCCCTCTGCTCCCAGAAGTGGGAGGTTTATAGCTTCCACCTTGAGTGGAATCTATAAAAGTCAGGGAGTTCAATGTGTGGACAAACTCCTTCCAGAGGATTTTTTTTTTTTGAGACAGAGTCTCGCTCTGTCACCAGGCTGGGGTGCAGTGGCATCATCACGGCTCACTGCAACCTCCACATTCCTGGTTCAAGCGGTTCTCCTGCCTCAGCCTCCCTAGTAGCTGGGACTACAGGTGCACGTCACCACGCCCAGCTAATTTTTGTATTTTTAGTAGAGACGGGGTTTCACCATGTTGGCCAGGATGGTCTTGATCTCCCGACCTCATGATCCGCCTGCCTCGGCCTCCCAAAGTGCTGGAATTACAGGTGTGAGCTACCACGCCTGACCTCCAAAGGATATTATTAGACCTGGAGTCATCACTGGGATGAGTGATGAGAGGAGACTCCGAGGTAGCAGTCTGTTTCTCATGCTGCCAGCTGGGCTAATGTGTGTCAGCCCCTCTAACTCCCTGTTGCATATTAGTTAGAAGCCAAGCTGCCAAGTAGCCTCTGGAAGTGTGTCATAAACCCCGTCCAGGGAGAAACTGGGCTACATTTTTTGAGCCTGTTCTCAGAACTGCTCCCATGGGATGAAGCCCCTGGAAGGCCTGCACACTTGTATCAAACTGAGGCTTCTTTCCTGTAGCTTAGAGACTCCCAAAGGCCTAATGCCCTTCACTCCTAGAGCTGGTGAAAGAAGAGCCAATCCATGGGGAACCTAGAGTTAGGGCACTATGTGTGAGGTCCAAACTCTTCTCTCCACAGGGAGAAGCTGGATGGTAAAGATTCCTGTCCTGGTTTCATGAAGCAGTGCTCAGGGCCAGGTTCCTGCCAGAGTGTGCCTCAGCTTTTCCTACCTACTCGATGTGGATGTTATCTCAGTTGCCTGGTGGGTAGGAGTTTCTCAACTTGTATGACTGTCTCTTGGAGGGAAATGACCTGCGAATCAATGTTTATTTGGTGTTCATGAGTGGAGGGAATGTCAGGAGCTTCCTAGTCTGACATTTCTGATGTCACATTGCTGACGTCACACTGCACTTGGTATAGCAACATCCTTTGAAGAAAATTATCCAACTAGCACATAATAATCTTTAAAGCTTTTTCTTTTCTTAAAACTTAGGACTACAAAAATCAGTTTTCCAAAATCGCTTAAACTCCTTACCTATAGAATACATGTTAGATCATTCTTTGAAATGCCTATTTAAAAATAAAATGATATTAAGAAATTATTGCTGGATTTACCTTGGGGTGCAGTTTCCAGCATGCCATTGCTGACACCTTCTGGAATAAACCTCCACTGGAAAACCGAGTGATCAGCCCCTCCTGTGCTCAGCACCCACTGGAAGTCATGGGACCAGCGGACATTTGTGACATGTGCAGAATGGCCCACGTACTTTCTAAATCTGGCACCTGAAAGAATATTTTTTGAGAGAATTAGTTATGAAAAAAGAAGCGTTCATTAGTTTAAAAAACCCCCACTCCTATTCATGTTGAAGAGTAAAATCTTTAAATATATCCAAAAATGATGTTTAATTTTACATATAACATATAAGCAAATGCTCCAAAAGATATGTCAATTATTCCAATATGCAATAAGCTAAAAATAGGTCTTAAAATGTAAGCCCTGTAGGCTTACATTTTAACAAGTTCAGAACACATCTGAACCTGTTCCATATGCTGCCTACTGCTTCACTGATTCTGAAAATAAATGATAGAGAGTGAACATCTTACACATTCTTATTTAAATGCAAGATAAAACAGGCAATCCTTTGCAACAGGGAAACAGAAAATAATTCTATGGAAATAAAATTGTTTGGAGTCACGTAGACCTAGCGTCTGGAGAATCATTTCCTACCCCTTAAACTGGTTGCTTTACCTAGTGAACACTAACCCCAAGGTAGTGAGTGCAATAGAAAAAGCTACTTGAAGTGATATTTGTGGGTGAACTACAGTAGTAAGTCCTTCAGCATATGCTCAGTACACAGCAGCTCAAGGTACTCAAGTAATAAGCAGGGTCCATCTTACATGGAGGCCTAGAATCCCACAATCCATGGGAGATTTCAGGAGATCAAACACCCCCCCCATCCTCTCTTCAAAAACATTTCTATTTCTTACAGTTTCTCTAAATGAAGTCTCTTTTATTAGAGTAGGGGGAGGCCATCTGTTCGACTATTATATGTGTAAATTTCAAATGTCCACTGGAGACGCAATGATTTATAAGGTGAAAATTACTGCTGCATGCCATGCTCCCACATTTTTTGAGAGCACACTGTGACCAGATAAGCCCCATTATATGAGGGGTTCTCAGAAAAAATAGGGGAATTCTGCTGCAGAAGGCAAAGGAAGCATGGGGTCTCAAAAGCAAACTTGCCTATGTCAAAAAGTTACCTAAATCAGTTTCAGTTAAAAAATCAAACTGGCTCCAACTAAGATCAGTTGGAAGTGTTGATAATTGAGTAATTGGGGAGCAAGGTATACTCTTCCCATCTCTCTCTACATCTTAAAGTGTTGGCCCATTCTTTGCTTCCTTGACCTTTATACCTTCCCCACAGATCAATATGCCTATTTCTTCGTAGTGGTTTAAAAATAGGTCCACAAATTATATGACACAAAATGAACAGAATATGGCAAAAGTAATGGTGACATCTAAGAGGAGGTGATAAAAGGTCCTGCAGATTCTTCCTTGCTCTGTTTCTTGGATCTCTATATGCCACATCACAAGCACACTCGAGCAATCTACGGAGAGGCTCACTTAGCAGGAACTGAGGCCTCCTGCCAAGAGCCACGTGAGTGAGCCATCTTGGAAGTGAATCCTCTGGTCTCAGTTTAACCTTCACTTGACAGCACTTGGGAATCTGTGACTCCCAGAAACCATGATATAATAAATGTTTGTGCATTTAAGCTTTTAAGTTTAGAGGATAATTTCTTATGCAGCAACAGATAACTAATATAGTCTTTGCAAGCTAGAACTAGAACCTGCAAAAGCGTTAGTGTCATTAATGCTTAGGTCTTATCTCTCTGATCCTTTCTTTCTGCCTTCTCTCCCCCTCACTCACTCTGCTCCAGGCACACTGTTCTCTTTGCTATTCCTCAAACAAGCTAAGCATTCTCTGCTTCTAGGCCTTTGCTGTTTCCGCTGTCTGAAGTACTCTTTCCCTAAATATCTGAATGGCTGGATCCTTCATTCTTCTTCAGGTTCCAAGTCAAATGAAACCATAACAGCAAGCTTCTCTTTGACCAACTTATTTAGAACAGCAACACTACGCCGCCCAACTCCAGAATTCTCTACTCCCACTGTTTGCTTTATTTTTCATCATAGCACTTCTCACAATCAGATATGTTTACATGTTCTTGTATATTAACTGTGGACCTTCAGTAGAACAAAGCAGCTCCATGAGGGCAGGGATTTGTGCTTGTTTTCCTCTTTGGCATATCTCCATCGCCTATAACAGCATTTAACAAACACTTAATGAATAAATGAAGACCTTTCTCTCAGAAGGCTTTCCTTGGGACACTGAATGAAGGCCTGTCTCTCAGAAGGCTTTCCTTGGGACACTGAATGACTTCACCAGACATCTTTGTCCTCTACCACAAGGAGGGCTCAGGCCTCAGCCCTCACCCCCTCTCTATCGACCTCCTCTTCCATGGCTTTAAAGTGTTGTCAGTGTGACTGCCAGGTGCTCATCTCCAGCCCTGAAGTCTTCCTGGAGTACTGACGGCTCTGTGCCACGTCTATCTGGATGCCCAATATGGGTCTCTAACTTACAACAGGGAAAACAGACCCAGACATTCCCCTTGCCCTTATGTGCACTCCCAGAGACAAACATCTTTTTTCTCATTTTCCCAGCTCTGTAAATGCTGCCACCACGTACCCCAATGCTCAAGTCCCAAACTTAGGAGTCATCCTTGATTATTTTCTTTTCCTCTATTCTCATATCCAATCCATCTGTAAAAGCCTCAACTCTCCCTGGAAACTGTATCTGAAGCCCAACCACCTCTCTGTGTCTCTTCCTAATACCTTTATCTAAGCTGCATCATCTCTTACTGGACTCTTGCAGTAATCTCTCTACTGGAAACCTCCCCTTTCCTAACCATTCCACAAAACATCAAAAGTCTTAAAAACTTAGATCGGTTGTATCACTCCATGTAAAACCATCAATAGCTTTTCACTGCACTTAGAAGACAACTCCAATTTCTAGCAGCGGCCGGGGGGCCTTTATGACACAGCCCTGCCACCCTCTCCAATGCCATGGTACGCAACTCTTCCCCTCGTGCACTATGTTCTAGCCACACTGGCCTTCCTGTCCCTGCACTGCATCAAGCTCATCCATGACATATGGAAAGCCAGCACTGGCTCCTCCAAGATCCAAGATCCAAGATTTCCACAACTCAAGTCTTAACATTCAGGATGCTCATCATAGGAGGCGGCTGTTCAAGTTGTCTATAAGCCACGTGCCATAAAATGTGCAACCCAAGTCCATTTGCTGTGGGGAAATGGATACTTTCATGGGTTGCTGAGGTGTAGTGCTAAGGAGGAATGGAATGGGTATTCCAGGTGGAACATGGAGAGCCTCTGAGTCTCCCCTTGAAGTAGGGGTGAGTGCCAAGGCTATTAGGACACGGCAAATGTCACTGAGCAAGACCTTGGATTTTACCTCGTTTCAGTGTCTGTGTGGTGATGCTCAAACAGGATATAGTCTAAGTGGTATCAGGGAAAGCTGTCAGTATTGATCCTAATTACTTTAAGATGTGAAAACTGTCAAAATGAGAAAAACAAATTGGTTTGGCTATGTAAACACAATACCAGTAGCAACCATTTTCATTAACTGCAGAACACTTATGTCTAATTACTGTACAACTGAATATTATCCACACATAATTGCAAACATGTCAAATTAACTTGGTTGTGAGTTTTTAAAAATCCCAGTAGAAAACAATAATGCCTGCTCACTTCCTACAACTGCTCATGGTCATCAGCACCTGCTCATATCTGGCTGTTTACAGGTTTAAAACGTGCATGGAATACTTATTGCTTGTCACCTAAATTATAGACAGACACATTCCACCAACTGCTATTATTCCCATCAACAATTCCCACTTTTTATTCACCTCCCCACCAGGACTTCTGGCACAAAAATGACACAGAAGACTGAATGTCTCAGATGCAAATTATAAGATTTATAAGCCATCTGTCATGAAAAGTAGAACACAAGTCCATTTGCTATGAAGACATGGATACTTTTGTAGGTTGCTGAGGGTTTGCTATTCTCACCATATGTCATCTGGCTGTCCATCTCTCCTCATTCATGCAGATGCCCTCTGTGTGCCATTATCCACAGTTGATTTTTATGTAATGGTGACTCATTTTGACAGCACAACTCACCCTCTCTAATATAGTTTGGATATGTGTCCCAAATCTCATGTTGAATTGTAATCCCCAGAATTGGAAGCAGAGCCTGCTGGAAGGTAACTGGATTATGGGAGTGAATTTCTCACAAATGGGTTAGCTTCATTCTCTTGGTGCTGTCCTCATAATAGTGAACAAATTTTCACGAGATCTGGTTGTTTAACAGTGTAGGGCACCTGGCTCTAGCTCTATTGTTCCTGCTCCGGCCATGTTACATGCCTTCCCTTCTCCTCCTTCACCTTCTGCCGTGATTCTAAGTTTCCTGACACCTCTCCAGAAGCCAAGCAGATGCCAGCATCATGCTTCCTGTATAGCCTACTGAACCATGAGCTAATTAAACCTATTTTCTTTATAAATTACCAAGTCTCAGGTACTTCTTTATAGCAATGTAAGAATAGACTAACACACCCTTTCTGTTCTAATAATAGATCCACATTTCCATTGCTATTTTCCAGACCCAAGCCCACCTTACAAGACTTGGGGATGTATAGTAGATACCAGTTCTCATTGAGTTATGTTTATTCCCAAGTTCTGACACCGGAGACCAGTAGTGGTGTCTCTGACCCCAAAGTTGTTTCGTCTCAATTCTGAATTCCCAAGTACTCTTCCTGGAGGCCTAACTTACCCTCTGCAGGTATATTACTCAATCTAACAAGATATACCCTATTACTCAAAGGGCCCTTGTCTGGAGAAAGAAGAGTATGAATTGGGCATGTTGAGGTAATCCTGTGCCTTGTGCATTTTAAACACATGGTTGTTTTGTGATGTCTCACTGATGGTGGTTTTGTTATGCATTTTATGTTCCATTTATACCACAATTGTCTGCTTCAAAACTGCCAGTTAGCTGAAAATGACTTTCTGATTGCATTTTTCAATCCCTTTCCTTGCTTAATCTAAAAATTGTTCAAGTGAAAGTTTTCAGGCAGCAGCATGTCCCTGTTGATTACTTTTCTAAGATCAGATTTTCAGGCACAGCTGAGGAGTCTCAGAAGAGCCTGAATATGGGCTTTGCCTAAACTTGCAAAGGAAGAGGAGGACAGTCATCACATGGTTAATTCATCACCTTCTACAAAGCTTGAGCATGCGACATAATTGAAGTCAAACACTTTTAAAAACAAAACAAAACAAAACAAAACAATAAAACATGAGGGCAGAGAGGGTTGTTTTGAATTAAACTTATCTCAAAACTTCCACCAGTTATGTAAATTTAGTTTCCAAAATTAGTGCTATGACGAGAGGTCCATAAAGTGTATTTTCACCAGAACAACCACAGTCAGATTTTAATTATGTTTGAAAGGATTTGCTTTGCTTTTCCATGTATAAGCACAATAGCTCTGAATCATAAAAGAATATTAGTTGCAACATTTTAATGGACTATATATAAACTATGAATATTTACATAAATATAATTTATTTGAAATGTGAAACAAAGCTTACCAATCACAATATGGTAATAACTCTATTAGCAAATTCTTAAATTTGCAAAACCACGTACCTTAGGATGTCAGAAGTAGAAGACATCAATGCCACATTCTAACTATTTAAAATTGTAGAAGAGTAAAAATAAATATACAAGATAAAATAAAGAGTGTATTGGAACAGACAGCTGGAAGATCAGCCTTAATTGTACTGTACAGTTTACAGTAAATCTTTATGCAATGAAACATCTCTTTTGGCCTTACCTCTCTTGAGACAAGGAAATTTAAACAATTTAACCAGTCCAAAATCATCTCCAGACACCAGCACTGAGCTGCTGTAATTTGCATCCACTGAGTTGACATCAGTAACCTCAGTGTATTTGGGCCAAATTCCACTCACTTCAGGGCCTTTCACACATGTCCAGGAAGCCCAAGGAATCCCTTTAATTTCTTCTTTACTTGTTAAAGGCTTCCCAGCTGAAAATAATCAATATTAACATTACATTTAAATAAAAAGCTTATTCTAATTTACTTTATTCATTTTTTATAAAGATCAGAAACTTAAAAAAAAATTTTTATAAATTAATAAAACTACATATTCTAATCTCTTTATCCCATTTGTCATTTTTTTTTTGCATGGTTTAAAGAAAGCCCATACTCAAAATTCTCAGACATAAGAAGAAAATGATTAAATATTCAGGTAACACATCCCTAAATATCCTGATGCGATCACTACACATTCTATGCACATAACAAAATTTCACATGTACCACATAAACACACAAATGTATCAAAAAATTTAAAAAGAAAATGATTATCATATTAAATGTAATGTCTCAAAGCTACTGACATTTACTTATCTAGATACAGATGTTTTTATGCTTTGTATTATTAATGAAATGACTTTTATCATGTATCATCAGGTTTAGTCAACAATGCTTTGCCAGGTTTTAAAAACTTGGGCTAAGTTCATCCTGAACTTCTATTTCTCACAATTTAAGGATGCTCAGAAGTGATGTTTTTAAAATTCAGGCTCAATATTTTAATGAAAAAAAGTTAGTGAATATTATTTAAATTTATAAGTACTAAGCACTGAAAATCTACAAGATTATGATGAAATAAAATATAAATCATAGGGGAAAATAATCCCGACCACTGTGCTGGGTAAATTCCCAAACGGATGGCCTAGTACCCAATTCCCACCACAGCAGGTCAGGGATGTTCCCCAGAGAGCACACAAAGGAGGAAACACAAACAAGAAACATTTGGGAAACTGTTTAGCCACACACAATTTTCAAATTCAAAATCTAGACAATTAAGCATATTACCTAATTTCTTTCTCAAAATAAGTATTTTCAAAATAAAGAATGTGAGAATAAATGCTCTTATATAATACTGGTGCATTATAAAATTGGCACCTTCAAATTCTGGACTATAAAAACAGCATTACATAAAAATTCATGACAGAGAAAACAAAGTAAAAATGTTTGTAGTTGGAACATAGACTTTGACCTAGCGTCTTGCCCTGAAGAATACAGTCCTTGGAATAACTCAAGAGAGAAAATTTCACCAGTACAAAGGCATTTGGAATTCCAACAGCTGGACCAACAAAGAAACTAGAAATAAGCCCAAATACCCAATAATAGGAGAATGATGAAGTAAATTATGGTATCACCCCTGAACAGGATAGTATTTTGTTACTGCAAATGATAAACCTGTGTTTAATATTTTTTATATACAAATATATATATAATAATATCAAGCGAAGAAGACAGACAAAGAAATACATACCTCAGCAATGGTGCGCTGAAGAGTTTGATGAGGCAGAGTCTTATTTATGACATTTATTTTAGTATTATGCAAACTAAATGTTAATAAATGAGTATTATGTAAGTCAGGTGACTCTCTTAAAAAGTTATGGTGAGATCAAAAAAATAGCTTTTAAAAAATCCTAATGGGCACATTTCACCGAACAACCAATAAGAGATTCCAATTATGAAGAACACAGATCTGAGACTAAAACAATCTAAGTAAATAAGGACTGTGATCCTCAAATCTTTGAAGACTTAAATCTTAAAATGCTGTGTTGGAGTTCTAAGCTGATCTCAGAGAGTTTCTAATACTCCCAGTGCCATTCTTTCTGAAGTTTCAATAGACTGTTCTTCAAAACAGTCTATTCTGGCGGAAACCAGTTGTCTAATGATAACGTAGCCGACTATCCCTGGTTATCTGTGTTACGATGGGAGTACTATTGCCTGACAAGCTGAAACCCACCGATGACACCCCCAGTTCATTTTCATTCATTTCTAACCCTACTGCAGAACTGTGTGTGCAAGGCACTGACAGAAGGATTATGATACTATTTTGCATTATCACCAGTTATTCAACTTTTTAGATACACATTAATTAACAATGAAATGGGCAAAGAGTAGGAAGAAAGAAAATAACAGATAAAGCAACGGACTTGGATAATGAACTAAACAGGTCATGAACATCCAAATGCTTGAAAGTTGGTTCTACAGTTGTTTCAGATTTTCTCTACTTTAAAAAATTATGAAATATTTTGAGCATACAGAAAATTATATGGACTACTACAGTGTACAAGTGTTGTACCACACAGCTTCAACAAATCTTAACATTATGTCTTTATCAAAGTAGAATTTTAAAGAAAATGTTTCCGAGTTAAAATTCATTGGGTTGTTTTTTAAAATATATTATTTTTTAAGATGGAGTCTCGCTCTGTCACCCCGGCTGGAGTGCAATGGCATGATCGCAGCTCACTACAACCTCTGCCTCCTAGGTTAAAGCAATTCACCTGCCTCAGCATCCCAAGCAGCAGGAATTACAGGTGCCCACCACCAGGCCATGCTAATTTTTTTTTGCGTTTTTAGTAGAGATGGGGCTTCACCATGTTGGTCAGGCTGGTTTTGAACTTTTGACCGCAAATGATCTGCCCACCTCAGCCTCTGAAAGTGCTAGAATTACAGGTATGAGCCACCACGCCCAGCCCCATTGGGTTATTCTTTCCAAGATCATCTCTCTGCTTTCTCAGTGGCAACCAACACCCTGAATGAGGTATTTATCATTCCCATACATTGTTAAAACGTTTACTATATACATATTTGGTCATAAATAATACTGAATTTTTTCATGTCCTAGAAGTTTATATAAATGACTGTATACTGTACACATCTTTCTACAACTTTCTTTTGTCTGCTCCGCATTGTATTTTTCAGATCTATCCATATTGATGCAAGTAGCTCTAGTTTAATTTTTTCAAGTTTTTTATAGCATTTTATTATGTGACTATACCATATTTAACTGAACTCTCCTCATGCTGATAAACATTTAGATGTTGTGACTCATCTTTGGCTACTACAAACACAACTAGAACAAACATCCTTTGCACGTGCCTTTGTGCATGTTCTCACCAGGAGCATATGTGGTTTCCATTTCCCCTCTTCTCACCTTCAGACTTTTGCCAATCTAAATAATGTAAAATGATACTTTACTGTAGCTTTAATTATCATTTCCCTGATTCCTAGTCATTTATTGGTTGAGATTTGCCTATTTTTCTAGATTTTTTTCGTCCCTTTACCTTATCCTTAGGCATTCTTTATATATTCTAGATATGTATATTTTGTCCGTTATAACAATGACAAGAATTTATGCCTGGTCTATGCCTTGTTTTTAAATTTCATTCATGGCGTCCCTTGTTGTGCAGTAATTTTTAGTTTAACATGTTCCAGCTCATTAAACTCTTACATGTTCGTTATTTGGGATCATGTGACAGGCAGGGGCTTTCTGGCAAAAACCAGAAAACCAGCTGTACAAATTCTAAAAGAGCCGTAATCCTTGTCCTGTATTTCCTTCACCTGGTTCAAAATTTTGCTTCTCAGAAACATCCAAGGCCTACATACGACTTACATGGCATTTTGTAGAACAATCGTTCTCCTGCACCGTCATTAGTTTGTAAGTATTTACTATCCAAGGACCAGTCAATGTGCGTGATGAAGCTAAGGGACCTGTTGCATTCTCCAATTTTCTTATACCTCTGGGCAACAGCATAGACATCTACTGGGCCATCATTGGATCCCACTGCAAGGTAAGAACCATCTGGAGAAAATTTCATTTCATGAATGACTTCTTTTCGATCTTTGATGTGAACTACTTCCGTCATATCTCTATAAGAATAAAAAGCAAAATGATAAGCAGCAAATCTACAAATAGAAAATCCAAGTCAAGTTTTAAAATATATGTGTCAGAAAAAGAAATGTGTTGAAAGAGAGCGAAACCTGCAGGAATTAAAGAATTAACTTTTGAGGAAATACATAAAATGGTATTTAAAATTTATGGAATTTTAGGAGAATAATACACTGTTTAAATTATATTTTGGGCTTCCAAAGTAAAAACAAAAAATTTAACAAAACACACATTTGTGATGAAGAGAGGTTGATTAATGGGCACAAACCACAGTTCGACAGAAGAAACAGGACGTAGCATTTGATAGGTCAGTGGGCTAACTATAGGTTACAATAATCTATCATATATTTCAAAATAGCTGGAGAGAGTAATTCTAATGTCTCTAGCAGAAAGAAAAGACAAATATTTACAGTGATGGATAGCCCAATTACATTGATTTGATCTTCACAAATTATATGAATGTGTTCAATTACAGGTACCCTGAAAACATGTGTATCTGTTGCGTATCAATTTTTAAAATTTTAAAAAGATGAATTTTTCTTTCATGTTTAACTGTATATTACTTTTCCCTAAAACTTCTGTTTCAAAAGTTGAGGTTTGTAAAGTTAATAAAAGAATACAACCATGATATATTCTACCATGGAAAAAGGTAGAATATATCAAAGCTAGCAAAAATAAGTGATCTTTGCTATACTTTAAGATAAACTAGTGACTATTAAGCTTGATACCTATTGTCACAAAAAGATCAAGTCAAAAAAGCAGCTGAAGAAAATTACCTTTTTAAATAGTAAACTGTGATGTAATCATTTAACATTTCACTGTCATGAATACAGTGAGTCACTGAAATGTTTTGTTTCTGACCAGATTCTTCTAAGAATTTCTGCTCACATTTGAAAGCTCACTGGGGTTATTTTTCTCCTACAACTGTGAGACAGGATTATGACTAGCAGGTCCCCTGAGTCAGTAAAGATGGCTTCATTAAAACAAACTGAATGCATAAAGAATACCAAATAGCCACTCTACATTAACAGTCCCTTATACCTGCCATCATTTATTAATAGCATTATAGTGCACTATCATGTCATAAAATAGGTGTGTAGGATTTATTTTTATTATTATTATTTTTTCTGGCGGGGAGGACTTGGGAAGAAATCAAAAAAGAAATCTGGTACTTAGCCATCTTTTCACACATCTCTAGGCAGAAAAAGAAAATGGTGCCCGCTAGTTCAGTAAGGAGTTACATGTGGTTGGTAGTGAGAATTTAGTGTAATAAACCGTGCTAAGATCATTCTTCAATCAGAGCTACAGAGAATTCTCTGTGCAAAACAGGCAATGTTTAATTTACAGCTGCATTTTCTTTTCTGTACTTAACAAAACATGTGAGTTGAGAGAGCAACAAATGCATTCAGAGGAATTACAAGGGTGGATCATAATTGTTTCCAGTAAAAATTATATAGGATGTTAGTAAATCGGAAATATTCCATTTTAGTATCAACTATGGGTAGAAGAAATCTTTTACTGAAGCTCACCTCTAAACATCTGGTGCTGTTGGATGCTGCTTTATTCTTTCTTCCTCTTTTCTTGGCTTACTAGAAAGCCCACAATCTTTTATCCGAAACTCTTGGAATTAGATGTGCTTGGGAATTCAGTATTCATTCGATTTTAGAAAGGTTCATATACAATATATTATGTAACATCCCCAGTGGGGGCTGGGGCAGCACCCTGTATTAAACACAATACTTTTGCAGCAAGTCACATGACACATGATTATTCCTAAGAGATTACTAGATTATAAACAGCCTCACATCAGTTTGTTAGGTTAGGCTGTGCTACCAAATTATCAAATAACTTTGTATTTTCAGAGTGTCAGGACTTCGGAATTACAGATAGGGGATCGCAGATCTACAGTATTCCTATTTGAACAGGTAAATGGATTTTCCCTCAGGTCCTGGCACGTATTATGACCAGGAACATTGTAACATTTAACACAAGAACATTTCTAAATACCATTTTCAACATCAGTACGTGCCTGACTCGGAGAACAATGAAAGAGCCATCCTTCATGCCCAGGGCCAGCTGAGATCCGTCGGGGCTGAAATCTACACTGCGAACCGCCTCCTCCATGTTACAGCGGGCAATCAAGGCATGATCGGCCAGGCTCCACAGCCTAGGCACAAGAACGAAGTCAATACAAAACAAAACCAACTTCCCATGGTCATCGGCCAGCCCGAGGCAAGAAGACCTGCTCATCACACCAACAGTAATAAGAAAAGACACAGGAACACCATACCAGAGCCCTTTATCGTGGCCTGTCACTGAATCTGGAAAGGCGTTTTAGTGCTTCTTTAGGTCATTTTCATTATTTGAAGGAAACTAGCAAGAATGAGAAAATGAGATAACATTTCCAAAGATTTTGAGATTCACAGAACAAAAAAAATTCAGGGCTGGGCATGATGGCTCATGCCTGAAATCCCAGCACTTTGGGAGGTTGTGGCAGGAGGATCACTTGAGCCCAGGAGTTCGAGACTAGCTTGGACAGTATAGGGAGACGCAGTCTCTACAGGAAATACAAAAATTATCTGGATGTGGTGCTGTGCGCCTGTTGTCCCAGCCACTTGGGGGGCAGAAGCAAGAAAGTCACTTGAGCCCAGGAGTTCAAGGCCGATCCTGCCACTGCACTCTAGCCTGGGTGACAGTGCGAGATCCTGCCTAAAAATAAAAAAATAAAATAAAAAATAAAAAAATAAAAGATGTAAATTTTAAATACCACCTTATACAAAATGTTACCTTCTCTTTGAAAATTAAAAGTTGTCCTTCATTCCTTCATGTATACCAAGGGTTGCTCATCACACATACAAGTTAAGAAGCACTTATAGGATAAGATACCATTAGTATTAGCTTCTTAAAAAGTATGCACCAGACGCAGTGGCTCACACCTATAATCCCAGCACTTTGGGAAGCCATTGCAGGAAGATGACTTGAGCCAAGGAGTTCAAGACCAGCCTGAGCAACATGGTGAAACTCCATCTCTGCAACATATTTAAAGAAAGGCTGGGTGTGGTGGGGCATGCCTGTAATCCCAGCTACTCGGGAAGCTGAGGGGGGGAAGATGGCTTGAGCCTACAAATTCAAGGTTGCAGTGAGCTATGACCACACTACTGTACTCCAGCCTGGGAAACAGAGCAAGGCCTTGTCTCAAAAAAAAAAAAAAAAAAAGTACAGATCAATATATATCTCTCTCAATATAAATATAAATCTACATATCAATATACGTATATCAATATCATTATATACGTATGTAAATATATAAAAGTGCTTTCTAGTAACAGTTACTTTAGCACACACAGATTGAAATACACATTACATTTGTTGGCCTTCCTAGGAAGAAAACGTGTCTGAGATGAAGAAGAGCAAATGATATCCCCGCTGTTGTTCCTCACAAGCTCCCTCGGTGCCCCGCTGCTGATGGGTCTACTTTTATGGGGCGGACACCTCACAGGACTCCTGGCTGGTGAACACAGTCACTGTTGGAGAAGGGGCTAGCAAGGGGCAGGTGCAGCTCAAACAGAGCTTTCAGCACACGCTCCCATCTCCACAACACCTACAGCCAGGCACCCCAAAGTGTGTCAACCTGAATGAAACCTCTGAAGATACAAAAAAGGCTTTACATGTTGGTTGCAATTGTGGTATCTGATTTCCATCAATTAGTAACTCTTTTAAAGACAGTCTTCTCTTAATACAAACAATCTTGTCTGCTGGGGGACTGAGAAGCTAGAGCTCTGCAATAGACAAGAATAAGTCACACGCAGCATGGTTTCTCTCAAAGCCTTCTGCCATCAGAAGGGGTGGGGTACAACCCTTATGATGTTGAGCTGCAAGTAAATAGTTTACCAGTCCCTTAGGCAGCCCGTACTGTGCAGCTTCAAACTGCGTATGTTCTCAATACCTCATCCATTATTCATGATCTCATGCTGTTTTAACCTTGTACTATTTTAAGCAATGCAAGCCTCGAGTTACTAGTAAAGAAACCATCACTCCTCAGTAAACTGCATTATCCTCTAAAGTCACTATGCTCATCTTTCTCAAGAAATGACGACTTTTAGCCTTTCCAAATTTTAATACTTAGTATAAAAATGCATTAAAGATTCTAGTCAAATTAATGGTTAAAAGGAATAAGATTCAGGCAGTCAGGGCTTCTCAGGGATGTTTGCAATTCTGAGACCCAACAGTGTCAAAATATAAAAGCGAAGGGTTTCCTTGAAATCACTTCTTTCTGGATAAGCATGAATGAGTTTCACAGGTGTATGAATAAGTGGGAAAACTCAAGTAACAGAAAAACAGAAAAGGAGGAAGTGAATAAAGCAAAGAATAAACCAAATAACCATTTATGTCACACAAGGAGAGAACAATAGTTGTTTTAGTTGTTCTCATTGATTTTCAGATCAATGAGGCTTTCATGCTTGGTAGAGATGGAAAAAATAGAATTAATGAAAACACTAATTATATTTTGATTAAACTCATAAACATACAAAATAAGGGAGGAGGGAAGCAGTGAGCTTTAGTACAGTTTACATTGTTCTATATTAGCTATTAAAACCCAGAGGTGGCAGCCGTTCAATCGACTGATCAGTCTCTTCCTCTCACACCCTCTGTCTTTCTGGCCTATCTGTCATTGAGCACATCTAAATACTAAAATACTGAAATTGGGATAATATTCATCTCAAACCTTTAAATCATATGTTCATTCCCTTAATAGGTACAAAAATATTGGAAGCTAAGTCATTGTGCTCATTTCACCCAGTCGTGCTCTCAAAGAGTAAGAATGATCCACAGCAAGAAAGCTGGAGGCCCTGAGAAAACTATTCTCTCAGGCCCCATGACTCTTTGATCTGATGATGTGGTTCAAAATTTCATCTGAGAATTTAAAAAGAAACAACAGTTTACTCATGTGCTCAAGACAATTTTGAGAATCAGAATTTAAGTTCTAATGATGATGAACAAGAGAGTCTCTAATGAAATTGTAAAATCTCTATGCAGTCCCCTGCAGAGGACCCAGGGCATGAGGGGACAGTATGATTTCATCACAGATGAGTGTGCTTAGCTCTTACGTCTCCAACTAGAAAGAACTGTAAGCCAGCCTTACCAATATTCATTATATTTTTCACTTCTAAAAACATTCTCTTGACTTAAGAGGCAGCCAAGAAAGACAACAGCAGCAGCAAAATGCCAAGAAACCCACTTGTTGAGCTACATGTCTTAATGTTTCATTTGGAAACTGTGTGGTTCTGTTCACACTTTATCCTTCTATTAATAAGCAAATCTGGGCAAATAAATCCATCTCAAAGAAGTCAGAGAGATGAGAGCGGCGGCCAGTGGGGCCTCACCTGACAGAGCGGTCATCGCTGCCTGTCACAGCCAGAGGCTTCTTGGGGTGCAGGGCCAGAGCCCAGAGCTCACCCTCGCAGTGGCCCTGCAGGATCAACATCGGCTTGTCTCGCTCTCGCACAATCACTTCAAATATCTCACTGTCCTGGGTCCCCGCTAGAAGGCGGTCTGCTTTCCAGCACACGCTCCGGATAGAGAGGCCTGACAAAAATAAGTAAAACAAAAGCAAATCTTCACACTATTCACCAAAAACCAAAAAAGCGTAAAGTAAATACCCTTTAACCAGGATAGCATCAAATGTGACACATCTTAGAGACTCCTGGAGGCGGAAAATAAACTCTGCCACCATTCTGTGTTATTTCCTTACAAGTGTTGGATGTTTCTGCTACCCCTCGTGATCTAGTTTGTGAAAAAGCAGCTGCTTTTCCTTGACTTAGGATAACTATGTTTTTCTACAGCAGGATTGTGGTTTTTTTTTTTTTTGTTTTTTTTTTTTTTTGAGACAGGATCTCACTCTGTTGCTCAGGCTGGAGTGTGGTAGCACAATAGCTCACTGAAGCCTCTGGGCTCAAAGTGATCCTCCTGCCTCACCCTTCCAAGTAGCTGGGACTACAGGCATGCAACACCATGCCTGGCCTAATTTTTTTCTTTTCTGTAGAGATGAGGTCTTGCTATGTGTTGCCTAGGCTGGTCTTAAACAGTAGAATATATTTTAAATACTGTATCTTGAAGTAAATATAAGATGATAAATTGGTCTTTATGAAAACCTAACCTTCAAAATAATTTCCTTCTGATTTTCTATGAATGATAGAAAATCAGAAGGAAATTATTTTGGAACCTTTAGGAACAATAATATTGTGTTAAAATTATATGTGGGTGATACTACAGAACAGCTAATTATCATATTAGGCAAGTTCAATACATATTTGATCAGAACCTAGATACATTACTGAATAAATAGATGCACTGTGTCTCAGAAATATGCAAATGAAACTCCAATTTCAGTATCAAAATACCATCAAACATTTATCAATGAAGATGCTGTTCTTCACCAACTTGATTTATGGTATCTTCTCCAAAAGCCTCTTTTCCAAAAGCATAGCACTCCTTTTAAGACCATACCTCCATCTCAGTCTTGATCTCTTAGATTGCTTGCAGTCTGTTCTGTTCCTTAAGGGTTTGTTATTTGCTTAGGCAGAGAATGTTCTAATCTGATTTAGAAATACAGCAGCAATATCACTTTCCTAACTACTTTAGAACAAGGTGAGGATGTGATGAGCTCCGGGTTGCCTCCCCAGCAGGCATTCTGTCTCTGGGATAGAAAGTATCAGAAGCTTCATAACCCGGGCTCTACTCTTGCTCCAGGCCCAACTGGCTAGACACAAGAGTGCTCCTTCCTTTCTGGGGACCAATTTTTCACCCCTTAAGATGTAGAGTATAATTATGGTGACCATGTAATTTGTCATTCCAATTAGAATGCCTTTTAAGTGTGAGAGGCTCTAAAACTAAATGTACATAATATTTTGAAATATTTGACTAAGAAAGTAGCTTTCCTATGTTGAAAGACCTAATAAATACTTCTATCAAAATATTTTCAGCCAGAAAATTCCAAGACCTATTTACTGCAAAACGAAAAATCCAGGGCAGAGAGATGAATAGACAGAGAATGGAGGATTTTTAGGGCAGTGAAACTATCCTGTAGGACACTATAATGGTGGAGACATGTCATTACACATTTGTCAGAACCCACAGAACGTACAACACTAAGAGTAAACTCTAATG